CTGGGAGTCAGGATTTCCTAACACATGCAGATTCACCTTACACAGTGCTGGGAGCCAGTGCTTATTCTTAACTTTGAGGGGAAATAAAATCCTCTAACGTCAAAGCCCTTGTATGTTCGGAAAATGCTTTGTGCTAAAGACGTCTACAGTAAAAATTACCTTTATTTGAAACGTGGTAGTGATAAACCTGATTTAACCTTTCCTGTGGATGGCCAGGAAATTCTTTTCTAAGCGCAGTTCTTTTTGTTTGCTTGAGGGTGCATTTGAATCTCATGGTGGTTACAACGTCCTATGAAACCTATTTCGGAAAAGGATGCACATTGCCTACGTAGGTGAGGAAGAAAAAAGAGAGTAGTCAGGTGTATAGCCTCTTTTGCCTTGAGAAATGGCTGCTGCAGCCTTATACTTCTGGTTAATCTGGTGTACAGTAACAAGGGAGAGTCTGCTCACCTGACGGTTAACAATTTTTTAAGATTGCCACACACACGTGCTTTTAGCTGAAATACAATGCAATCTTAGTAACAGGAGTAATTTTTACTTAGGTTTTAGGAGGGATTGTTCTACCAAACGAAATACAGAGACATAGCTGAGATGACATTGAGAAGCCCAGTGAAGCAGAACTTTATTTTTATTTTGTATATGACATGGCTGATATTCGGTCTTGGCTCTGAAGGCATAAAAATTAAAATAATCCTCATCCAAACCCCCCAAACAGCAGAAAGGAGCAAGTGACCATGGAAACGGAGACCATGTCCCCAGTTGGAAATGGCTTGAGTCAAGCTCATTGTGGATGAAGGGAAATCTGCCAGTATGTAGTCAATTAGAGTTCTCTTCCTGAGAACTTCAAATGGAGCCCTTAAAACAAGCTTTTGAAACTCCTGAGCATCCAAGTGTGTGCAGGTCTTTTTGGAGCACCGGTCTCCACAAGCACAGAATTATGACCGTGGTCTTTGTGCTGAAAATGCAAGTGGTTGTGGCTGATGTATTTAATAGATGGTTTGCCCCTTGTTCTCTCTATGTAGCAAATTTTTGAACAAAGGTCCTTATTCCTTAACATTCTCTGCATTGTTTTAGAAGAGCCCAACAGGACAAACTGTTTCCCTCAAATAGGTTTAAGGAGAAGGCACTGCAGCGAGTGAGCTGTGGAAATGAATGGGTCTTCAGTGTGTGGCCTTTGCTGGTTCGTTTCTTCTCCTGAGCAAACCTGGTACTTTCAAATGACATTGGCTTTATCTTTTGTGCTGACTAATTTAGCTCTCTTTCTCCTTGCTCTCACGGGCATTTTTCTAGTTTCAGCTTTATCTTTCCTTTCTTTATGCACACAACTCCGTTCAGCTTCCGCTTGTTAATAATTTAGTTTCAAAAGCTGGGGCCGTGTTTCTTTCTCAGGCTTTGCCTAAAATTCTTTAACTGTTGGGAATGGGAGGCCTCGGGAAAAGAGGAGAAAACCATTCTGTATTTGTTCTGCATTTGTTCTGCACATGGTAATACCAAACTGACTATAAACGGACTGCTGTTTTGAGCAGTGCTCGCAGCTATAAACTTCAACTGTTGCCAGCACCTTTGTAGATGAACAATTGTGTGTGACATTTTGAGCTTTTATGCATGGACTTCACCTTTTTTCCTTGGTTTCTTTTTTTTTTAGTTTGTTTCTAATGAAAAAAAAAGTTAAAATTTATCCATCTGACCTGCATCAGATTTTATTTCTATTAAAAAATGTATGGATAAAGTCCAAATTCTTTCAAACTCTTGAGCCTTCAATTCAATGTGCTTAATCTACTTCCTCCGGATAAAAAAAATGTGTGTGGAAGGTGATGTTGGAAAACGACTAGGAAGTCATCAGCATATTTGGCCTCCCAAATCCCAAGTAGAAATAAAAATGTCTTCTGGGAAATGTCATGTTGCCTTCACTCCCTGCAGTCTTTCATTCATTTGAAATTGGCTCAGATTATTTATTTTTGTTCGTATTATTGGGGTTTGATTGCTGTCCACTATATTTTTCTTACAATCTTGGACCTCTTTCTTAAGGGTCCAAGATTATACAGTGAAGGAGATGTTTTGGAAGACTGTTAGAAGTTGTGATATGTGTTTGTTCCGGTTTTAATGTCTGTTGTTTACCCATTAAGCAGGTGACAGGTGAATGACAGCAATTTAAAAAATCCACGATTACTTTTATTGCAAAACTGGAAAAAATTGAAAGATTCTTGTCACCTTACTGTTTCCTAACAACTTTTGTATTCCTCTCTTTTAGCTGGCAAAACGTGGATTAAATGTAGTTATGATAAGCAGAACTCTTGAAAAACTGCAGAGAGTAGCCTCTGAAGTTGGTAAGTGTTTGTCTCAAACTTATCTTCCCGTTTAGCAGGCTGGCTTTACAGGGATCTGGAGGTCTCTTCCCTTGGTAGTGTATCTAGTATAGTAGGGCCGCAGATACTGCTCCAATGCTACAAATAATTTTTGGTATTACTGTGTTTCTTGAACACTTCTAGTCACAGATAGCTTTAAAAATATATGCTATCATTCAAACAGTGCAACGGGTTTGATAAAAAAGTGAATGTACATTCTTTACTGGCTTTATCTGCCCTTAAAATCTATAAATACAGGCAAAGGGAATGTAATACAAGAGTTGTTGGGGGGATCTATGAAACAGTCTATGCTTGGGAAAATTAGGTTACCTTTGGCTAGTTCTTGGAATATAGCAAAGGAAGAGTAAAAAATGGAATCAAGGTACCTGGTTTGTTTGATTTTTTTAAAGTTTTCAAGTTACATTTGGCTTTCAATAAAACAGTTAAATAGTGTGTCTTCAGGCTTAATGTTCCCTTTCTTTTCTTCAAAGGCAGTTAGCCATTTACCCCAGGGAATTTCTTGTTTAAATATGTTAAGACTGAAGGTTAGGATTTCTTTAGGAGTCAATTGAGTTTATATCCTCCATTAACTTTAAAGATGGTTAGGATTTCTTTAGGAGTCGAATGAGTTTATATCCTCCATTAACTTTAAAGATTGCTGTAATCAAGGTTATTCTTCCCACTGTCTCTTTCTATACAAGGCTTCTATCCACCAGATTCCTTGATTCACAGGTTCTTGTGTTAAGCATGTGTCACTCCAAGACTACACCTCTGTCAGAAAGACTTGCCTTTAAGCAGGCTTAGCACCAGACTCCAATGAATATCAGGTCCAGGATATTTCCTGCAGAGAGAGCAGTGCATCTCTCAGGGACATGGCAGACTTGAGGTGGGTGAAAAAGTCTGTAACTTCTGAACCTGCAGCTACCAAAAGTCAAGGATTGGACCCTGAAAATTTTCTGTCCGTTTTCCCTCCATTTTTTTTCCAAGGGTAGACTTGTTTTCCCTTGGGAAGCAAGGGATATCAGAGGAGGAAAGCACCAGCTCCCTGAGTAGTCTCTATAAGCAGTCGTATCCGTGAGACCAACGTGACTGTGGCCTACACTACCCCTTTTAAGTAAACAGCCATAAAAAAATAATTTCTGCAGGAATTAGGTCAGGTCTGGTGTCATTGATGCATTTCTCTGCAGCTAAATGTTAAAGAATTATAATAATAGAAACCTGAAATAAAAAAGGCTAAAGAGGTTTTACAGTTACTTTGCATTGTAAATTATAATCAGAAGCAAAGAATGAAAACAAGAAGATTCCTGAGACTAACATAGCTAAGTAAATAAAAAAAGCGGTGGAGGGCTGGAAAGATGACATACTGTAAATTCCTCTGCACTGTGATGTATTATAAGGCCATCCACTGGCCACCTTCCTAAGTGAGGCCATGCTGTGCTGAATTATGTAGCAGCATGTAATGAAGGACTTGCGATGTCCTGCAAGGTACTGCTGAGGCAGCCGACCCTGCAAACACCCCTACGCCTGGTGCAAAAGTGACCCGTGGCTTTTCGGACGTGAGGAAGCTTCGCTGACTGCAGCGGTGTTACCCACGTAATCCAAGGTGCGGGGAGCTGGGTGGCGTGACCCCGGGAGCTCAGGCTACGCTGATCAGGTTTCCACGCTGTGTTCAGCTGGGTTGTGGGCATAAAGAGTCTTCCCCAAAGCTTGCTGAAAGTGGTGGCAAATCCCAGTGAGATTTTTCCATTGTTTTCGGTGGGTTTTGGCTGAAGCCCAGGGTGGCTCATCTGTTATTTATTGTGTCAGGTTGGAAATGAGTACGTAACAAGAAGTAGATGGCACAAAAAAAAAGGAAAGAGAGGAAGATATTGTGATGAAAACCACAGAGTATCTGACCTGGAGGCCACTAAAATCAGCAGGGAGCTCTGGATGTGGGCTTATGTTAAAGCTTTGGAAATGTTCCACTGATTCCAATTTTTGGACTCGGGCTTTGCTGCGATTAAGCTAAGCAGTCATTGGGAAGGAAGAGAAGTTAAACGTACTGTGATGTTACGTGAGTAAATAAACAACAGAAACAAAAAATGAAGCAGACACCTAACCAGAATGATTGTACTCTTCTCTAAATTTTCCCTCACTGACTTTTTCTTTCTAAACTGCTTAAACAAGCAGTATCTCGCTCCAAGTGGCTATCATTACCCTGAACTAATATGCAAGGAGGTTAAGGCAGAGAGAGAGAGAGAGAGAGAGAGAGAAAGTTTGTTGTAGGCTATGTGGATTTGTTGCAGGACTGGACATTTTACTCTTGTCTCCTTTTTCTTAATAGCTATGTCATGTATCTTTTTTCAGTCAGTTGGACACCATAATTAAAAGACTTACCTCCCTTTTCAAACTGGTGTTATTATTTGCTTAATCATACTGTCACAGTTCATTATCATAGAATCACAGAATAGTTTGGGTTGGAAGGGACCTCTAAAGGCCATCTAGTCCAACCCCCCTGCAATGAGCAAGGACATCTTCAACTAGATCAGGTCGCTCAGGTCCAACCTGACCTGGAATGTTTCCAGGGATGGGGCATCTGCCACCTCGCTGGGCAACCTCTGCCACCCTCATTGTGAAAAATTTCTTCCGTATATACAGTCTAAATCTACCCTCTTTTAGTTTAAAACTGTTACCCCTTGTCCTATCCCAACAGGCCCTGCTAAATAGTCTGTCCCCAGAATAATATAAATTAAAGGAATCTAACCTGTGGGTAATTTCAGAGATCTCAGTGTTTGGCTTTCCAAGTCCTGTGGGCCACAGGTGTTCCTGAGAACAGCGCTCAAGGCTGGAGCAGGCAGAAATCCACAATAAGAGAAACATTTCTCTAAAGAAGCACTGGAATTGAAAACCAGATTTCCATCCACTCAGACTGGAAAGCTCATTCAGAAGGAGATAAAAGATAACAAAATAAGTCTTGTGGAGGGCAGGCAGAGAGCAGCATTACAGCAGGTATACTGCTTATTTAACACATTTAGTACGGTGGTTGTGAAATATTGGTCATGAAACCAGAAGATTAGAAATGATGAAATGCTATTAACTGCAATCCTGTGTTTGTTTATTCTGCCTACATTTCCTAAGCAAGTGGTACAAGCAGAGCTAGGTCCTGACTGAAAAGTGACACCTTAGGATCTATATATATGACCAGGGTCTGTACTGTTTAGCTGTTAATGCCAAAGCAAAAAAAAAAAAGCCACTTCTGTAAGACATAAAAACTGTTCCTAACAAGGTTAGGAAACTAACTTTGTTTTTTGGGGGGGTTTGGTTGGGTTTTCTTGTTTGTTGTTTGGGGTTTTTAGAATCTTTTTAGAAGAAACAAATCTGTATTTAAGGAAAGATAAACTGTGTGATCCTCAAAAGCAGCGGAAAATACAGCTGCATCAGTTTAGACTAGCTGAGCATGTGGTTAATGAATTTGGGTTTGGTGAGGCAGGAAGTAGCTTATCCACCTCTTCCTCCTGAAATTATGCCTGTTAATATAGAAGAAAGCAGTGAAAAAAAAATCACCCGAGACAGCTGAGAACCAAGTGTGCCTTGCTCCCGCTAACGCCCGTGAAGGTGCTAATTCATTTAGCTGACCCCCCTGCTACAGGCTCAGTTTCCAATCTGCTGTACTGTGTCCTCTGCCTCTTGTCCTTCCTGGTCCATGAGCCAAGCAGGTAACAAGCTGACTGCTACAGAACAGAGCACTTGAGGGCCTGCACCAATTTTCCAAGTGCTCTGCTAAGTAGTAGCAATTCCCATGCTGGTTGTTTTTTCATTGAGTTTGTGTTCTCTGGTATCTTCTATTATCTTCTGCAGTTCTGCTTTTACCTTAATTCTTTTTGTTTCTTCTCTCCTTTCCTGTTATTTCTGAAACGGAGTTACCTTACGTTTCTGAGGAGACGCATTTCTCCAAAACACTCTCGAAATGTGGCCAGAACTTGTGCTTTATAATCTAACAGAAATTTTTATATTGCTCCCCAGTCTTAAATCTTTTTTAAACGTCTTTCTGTTTTTAAAATAACTCTTCATTTTGCTCTCCTCTCTGCAAATGTCCACTGAATACGAATGCCATCTTAGCCTGAGTGCTTCTCTCTTCATATTCGGATTTTGCTGTAGTACTTCAAAAGGGTCACCTCTTTCTACAAAGATCAGTTCTTGTGCCAATTGGGCATTCATTTTGCTACCTCAGGTTTTCAGGAGGTCTTCATAACTCTCTGAATAGAAAGGGAGAGTTTCTGGCAGACTGCATGTCCTAACCAACTTCATGGTTCATCATGATTTGTTCTCTTCTTGGTAAATTTCAAAAAGCAGCACATTATCCTGTCTGACAAGTGGGATTCCCAGGTGGTCTGAGGTCAGAAAGAGTTAGATGTATCCTTCTTAATGATACAATTTATACCAAACACATCAGATTAAACAGCTCAGTTCAAGTTTTTAATTTTCCTTATATTAGTTTTCTCTTAATTTTAAAAAAAGAGAATAACCTGTCCTGATGTTAGAAAACGTAGGCTTTTTGCTTCTGGCACACTTAGGACTTTAAAAAAGAGTTGGAATGGCTTATGTCTTCAAAGACTGTCATAAATCTTTGTCACAGAGAGAGAAGAGAGACATAAGAAACATTGGAAATTATTTTTTGGCTCTCTCCTTTGCAGAATTGTTATCGTTTTCTGAAGAGCTATCCCTGGATAATTCATTTATCAGCATGATAGTTTTATTGTTTTTTAATATATTGTTTTATTCTTAAATGAGACAGAGGAAAGCCATCTGGAGGACTTGTTTGTTGGCTGACAGTGCTGGTTGCAGCAGTGCAGCTCTGTACAGACGAAGGGATGCAGAGAAAGTCCAAATGGTTTGTTTGATCCTCATTTTTATGTTGCTCTAGTTTTGGCTGCCCTTCTGATTGCCCGCAAGAAAGATGGCCACAACATCACTACAATTTTTAAGACCATCTCATTTTGTTTATAGAGCTTTTCCATCAGAAGGTCACTGTAGGTGTCTGCTCCAGCTGTTGCTCTGTTCTTTCCCACTCACTGCATTTATACTCATAATGTCCTTTTCTTTAGAGTTGTACCATTCCCCCAGCCTGGGACTGCGAAGGGGTAATTTGCCACTAGAGTTGTTTTTATAGGTTGAAGGTTCAAAGGGTGTTTCATCCCTTTCACACACACAACTGCAGCTTGGAAAGAGGGCAAGAAAAAGGGCACTCCTTCCTCCTTTCTTCTGTCACGGAGACAGATGTCCTCTAAAATTGCACAGAAGACGCAGCCCACATTTCAGATCTGGAGTCAGAGCGTCTGCTGTTTCCTCAGGCTGCTGGGGTGACTTGAGTAGCATAAGGTGGCTGAGACTTGCGGTATTTTGAAGGCAAGGAGGCACAGCCGGGAGGGAACAACGTTCCCTCATCCTCTGGTGGAGGCTCTGTTTTGTTGCAAACTCGCCTGCTGGACCCAAACCCAGATTTCTGCCAGCCTTGCTCTCCTGCGGAAGCTGGTGCCAGGCCTCTTCCCGAGTTCTGAATGTACACCAAGGGACGAGGCAAGATCCCTGGGTAGAAATCAGCGAGTCTGGTGCCTATCAAGGCCATGCTCTCTGTCGCCTGTAAGATAAAATCAGGCTCCAGAGAAGCAGAGGTGGCTTCCCAAACAGGACCCAAAGCAGACTTTCTGCCATCCACGTGCACCCGAATTCCTGCCACTTGCAGCGAGTCTGCAATCCAATCATCTATTGACATTTCCAGCTTCACCTGTCACTTTTTCAGCAAACTTCGTCTGGATTTCGGGTTTCCCATAAAACTTGAAAGCAGGTTTAGTAGCAAGAATTTACAATGTGAACATCTAGTTAGAAGAGACCTTACTGGGCCCCTTTTAAAGGAGAACCGTGCCTTTAAAAATGAGTAAATAAGTGCCTCTACCTCTTTTCCTCATGAAACTTCATTGAAAATATGAACAGCAATAAATCAACTGCTGAGAAAAATGGTAATGTACAGCTGGGCTCCACTCCTGCATAGCAATGACACTGGAAAAATCACACACATTTCCCTTTCCTTTCTGTGTAAATTGACCTTGTAAAATTTAAGCTATACCCTCCCTAAAATGCCTTTTAGTCCTGCAAAATCCTGGGGAAGGTTCAGTCTATGGGAGTGCAAATGTCAAAACAGGAGAGGAGTTGTTTGAAAATAATGTAGAAAATACTGCATCACATCCAGCCCTGTTTTCACCTCCTATGTGAAAAGATAAGCTCTGCTGGTTAAAATGTTCATCTTATACATGAGAACACTTTTAAACCATTCTGCAAAACTGTGCTTATGTGGGGATCTGGCACCCACACTCACTTGTCAAACATATGCTGACAGTGTTCATTTATAAATATTAGCATAACCAGGGTAAGAAGTCCTGTGTTGTTTATTTCTGGGTTGTTTTTTTTTTTTTCCTCTTTCTTACTGAAGGAGCAAATAGTGTTTAGGTTTTGTGGCGGAACTTCCATTGATTTTAGGGCATAAATTAACCCTGTATTTGCCAGGCCATTTCCCTGAAAATGACTGGGTACAGTAAGAGTGTTTTGCTTGTGTTGTAGTATTTCTTAAAGTAGGAAAGTTGAAACAATTGCTTACTGTACAGTGGGCATTACTAAATGAGACATCTGATTGTTTCTCTCATTACTTAATACAGCTCTCCCTCTGTCTGCATAGATGCAAACGGGTCTTCTATTTTTTTTTCTTAATTACAGAGCAGGCCACAGGTCAAAAGGTGAAGGTTATACAAGCTGATTTCACTAAAAACTCAGTATACGAGAACATTGAAAAAAGTCTGCAAGGCTTGGATATTGGTGTTCTGGGTGAGTCATTAAGGTCTGTTAATTGAAGAGTATGTTATAGCTGCAGTGTATTAAACAGAGAATTCTATAAATGATGTGCCGTAACAACTTGTTAGCCAACACTTAAAACTAAGCATACAGCTGCCTAATGCGTTTGAGCATTACTTATCATGAACAAGTGTTAAACGTGAGTTAGGATTCTCCTATGTTTCTCTTGTACAGTGGCTTCTTTACTGTGAAACCTTTTCTGCTGCTTTATAAGCAACATCCAGCTTGTGGGGTGACTTCTTCCCTATTTGGCCTCAAGGGCTTAATTTTCACTATTAGTTGTTTTACAGCTGTGTGCAATTCTTATATTCAATCTGAAATGAGCCTGTGGCTAACACTAATTGTTACGATCCATGCAGCAACAATGAAAACATGTTTTTTGGGGGAAGATTTTTTGGGGTTTCTTTTGTAAAGAAAATAATCTTTTTAATAGTGAAACAAATGAAACAACAACAACAAAAACAAACAAACAAAAACCCAAACTGTAGCAGCAAACTGTTTTTCTCTTCCCTGAAATCAGCACTGATTGGTACCCATGACTTCAGTGGAACAAGACTCGATGCTAAACGGCATTTCTCTTCACTTGCAGCTCAAAAGATTTTGGGTCTCAAGGAGAAGCCATTTGTTTAACTGGCTGAACTATGCACTTTGTCTAGATTTGGTTCTTATCATTATATTTCCTTTTCTTAGTTAACAATGTTGGAATGCTTCATAATCCTCTTCCGTGCCGTTTTCTTAATGGACCAGACATAGATGAGGTAGGATTACTCTGCGGGTTTCTACTTCCAATATAACAATGAGGGATTGTAATTCCATTTAACAAGGGACAGATTCTGCCCCTGCTACAATCGGCGCCTATTTAGCTGTTCAGTTGAGTGGGAAAAGAGCTGGGCCTGAAGGAGCATGTTTTGATTTGTTTTTAATGCTCGGGAGAGCCTGCAGGAGATAAAGAAGGGTAGATTTCAACTGAACTGCAGCGAGCACCCAGCGGGCGAGGGGAGAGCGTGGCTGGCCTGCTTGCAGCAGGGACCGGCAGCCCCTCTGGCTCA